GTATCCACCACATCTTCCAACCTCTCACACATCCACGACGCTTCTTCCAAGATATTCGATCCTGCGGATCTCGAAGAGTACCAAGTCGTCTCTGGACCAGGGATCGTTCATCCGGGCCCACCACCTCCCACAGCAGCCCCGACTTCACTCAGCAAGCCCTTCAAGTGCCCGACCGCTCACTGCAACAAGTCCTACAAACAGGCGAACGGCCTCAAGTATCATATGACACATGGACAGTGTTGCTTCTTACCTTCGTGAGTGAATTCTCCCGTCTATTACTCTTTTGACTTGCTTGCTTTTGTGGGGTTGGTTCCCCTCCCTCGGATGGGTGGCTCAAACATCCTCGAGTTTGAAGTGAGGGTATTTGGCTCGTGCTTCCAATTTGATCCCTTCCACTCCTCCGGTCTCCTCCGACCTCATTCAGAGGCATCCGGCTCTCGAGTATCGAGTATGTGAGCATGCGATCCAGTCTGGACTTCCCCGGAAACATCAGGCCAGTGCATCGCATATTGGTCGCTTAGACTTCCTTCGCATGCCATGGATCCTGTGGGTGCCTTTGGGTTGTGTGCCCACCAGGGTCATCGATGGGAGCCCTTGCCTCGTTTCCCGTCTATAGCCCTCCACCCGCCGGTTATCTAAAGCCTTTCTCTGCTCTCCCTCCTCGTGTTCCATCTTCTCGCACTTCCAGAGATTACGATCGCTGAACCAAAAAAAAAACAACCCCCCTTTTTAAAACGCTCATTTCATAGGAATCCGGCGCTCGAGGGACTCGACGAGCTCGAAAAGGATCGGGTCGAGAGACCGTTTGGATGTGGCGTCGGTGGATGCGAGAGGCGGTACAAGAACATGAACGGGCTGCGTGAGTCTAAATTTCCTTTTGTCAACCTTCATTTCGGGTCTGTCACGCCATCGATCTTCTCTGTCGCTCCGACGAGACCTCGAGGCTTTCTTGCATTGCGTCGCATCGCATGAATGGGCGTGAGGCTCGTGCTCGCGATATGGTTTCGGCCATTGGACACCTCGAGGCGGATTTTCACTCTCCGCTGCTTCTAATAGAGAGAAAGCCAGCATCCCTTGAGTGATTTCTTTTTTAATATGTGCTCACGCGACTCTCTTCTTCTTCCCTTCCCTTCCCTCCTCTTCTTTTCCTCGTGATTTTCCTTTCTTTGGGAATGATCAAATTTAGGCTATCACTACCAACACTCTGGAGCACATGGTGCCGTCGGGCTCGCGCTCCTCGCAGCCGGGACACACTCGGTTCAGCTGGCCGCACAGAATGCCTCGGCGTCGCAGGGAAAACCTCCCTCTAAGCTCGGTACGACGAAGCCGCCTTCATCTGCGTCTGGGACGCCGGCGCCTCAAAGTCCGACCACGCCCAAGAACTCGAATCGACCTGGACATTCGAGGGCGAGCAGTACGATGTCCGTGAGCACGACGACCAGCTCGAGTGCCAGGCCTACGCCGATCTCGACAGCGGGAGGCGCTTCTGGTGGAGTCAAGAGTCCGACGACCCCTTCGACTGCACGTGCGATCGCGAGTGCGACGAGCCCGACGAGTCCGAGAAGGTCGTATGCCGCCGCGACGTCGCAAGGCCTTACGTCTTTGACGTCCAGCGCTGCTGCTGCTGCCACGACTGCGCAACAGCAACAGTATGCGAACGCGTGGTATCAACAGCAGGCTCAAGCTGGATATCCTTACTTGCCAGGATATCCATACCTCCCCACTGCTGCCACGACCGCCAACCGATCGACGCCGGTGTACCCACCTCAGCATCACAACATGGCCGCTACCAACGCGGCGTATTACGCTCAGATGGCCGCCAACGCCAATGCGAATGTGAACGCGCCCGCCGGGATTCAACAGCAGCGACCACATCAGCTCATGAGGACAAATTCGGGCGGCGTGATGGGTGTGAGTGGCGCGGCGCCAGTCGTGGCGACGAGCGCGGTGACTGCCGTCGGTGGTGGCAGCCCACATACGCGAGATACGGCGATGGAGGTCGACGATGACCAAGAGATGGCGGACAGTTAAGCAGAATCGTGAAATCCTACGCTCGGCTCATGGTCTCCCAACATTGGACATGAGGACGGGGTCTCCGTTTAACATTTATTCTTTGGTCACGCTCGCCTTCGATGATGGACGTCTGCGCGGAGCGTATCGTCCTCATCCCCATCCACTAGCCACCACGACTACTTTCGTTCAACCGCTCACTCACCACCATCCAGTTGCTGGATCGTCGTCTTTCGCCGTCTGCAAAAACATCAACAGAATCAAGAACATACCCCAAGTCTTGATGACTTAAAAAGAAAAGAAAAACGTACATATCTATCTTTGTACGACCACCTGTATCATTGGCTATTCATCTCGTTTTTTTTTTACTGGATATTTCCTCCCTGGTAAATGTACCATGACCCACTAATGTGTTCGCCATCCGCCGTCCGTTCCAGTCTCGCCTCCATCCTCTGATCCTTTCTTTGTCGCGTCTTTGATTCTCACCTCGGTCTTGCTTTCCATTCTTTCCTATCGATTTGTTCACCCCAACTGTCTTGGTTCCTTCTCACTCCTCTCCCCTCACCACTTCCCCTATAGCGGACGCAATGCGTGCTCCCCAATCCCATTTCCCCAACCGTCCATCCCCAACACCACCATCCCCAACACTCGTCCTTCCCTTCCCTTTCTGCTCGTCGAATTTCTCTCTCATCTCATACTCGCCTTCATTCCTTAACACCTTGTTTATTACCCTTGTAACATTCCGTTGTTTCCTACTCCCTACTACTAGTTGTCTTGTTGGATGATCGCTATGTTTTTCTAGTCTTCCGTGTCTCTGCGTTCTCTCGTGTCTCCTGTGTCTTTGGCTTGTGAAAAATCATGGCGATCGTCTTTCTTTTCTCCTTTTTTGATACAACTCGTAGTTGTCCTAGTAGTGTCCGTGGATATGACAAGATGTGCTTTACTTGTTTTCAAGCGTGACAACGTGGTTGAGAGAAACACGTGAGGCAAAAAAGGGGTGGGTAGCCTCGTGTTCAATGTGTTGTAACACCACCCCCACTTATGATCAGCAGAACACACGCTGACCACCTTCGACCTTGATATAAACCTGCTCACTGAAGGTATAGGTTGGCGCCGATAAGGCATTAGTGGGGCCAATGGGTCCATAGTCCAGCGTTCCGCCCAAGTCGCAACCCCTCCACAGCGTACACGAGCGTATTTGCTTCTACCACGTTGCTGCGTAGGAAGAACCCCTTCACGTACAAGAAAACGGGCTCAGAACACTGCCTCAGCTACATCCTGCATTGTTGAGCAAGCTTCAGCAGTGCCATGGCCGTTGGTGTTTTGTGTAGGTATTCGTGTCCTCCCACTTCAAGCGGGGCCCACGATTGATCTCGACCAGAGGACACCAAAGCTCTGGGGCGACCCTTCTGCCTCTGCTCGACCTACATGCTCAATTATGTTGCTTCACGAACGCGAAAGCGCTGGTATACTTCGAGTCTCCGAGGCCTAGATTCCAACCGACTCAATACGCCATTTTACCGGTGTTCGGAGCCTTAATCACTCCGTCTGACTCCGTGACTTCTATAGACTCGCAGGCATCGAAAACCCACGGCCGTTTCTTGGAAATCTCACGAACCACACGCTTTCCATCTGAGCTTCCAAAGCCAAGCGATAGCTATGGCTCTCACATCTAGTGAGCAAGGCGAGCTATGACGTCTTGTTCTACGTACACGTTGTCCGCTCTATAAGTGCGGCACAAGCGAGAGGCTAATGCTGGGACGATGAAACTATGAGCCGCCCTTTTTGGTCCCCCGCAGCATCCTCAGCTCCTCCAAACGGTCTTCCTCAATTGGCCTCTCCGAGACTACTATACACCACTTCCAGAAATCATGATGGATCAGTGCTGTCTGGTTCAGGTGGTCACCGGGATTAGGCTAGGTTGACGGGCCTAGACATTCACCCTTCAACCACACCAACGTACGATTGTGATCGGCACCTTGGTCAAGCTCAACAACCGCAACTCGAGTCGTTTCGGGGAATGAATATCTCATGCCACATCCCCGTGGAAATTCACTAAGCGTTGTACCAGGCGAGTGGTCTTTTCCAGCGACGCAGTAAGGTATAAACGGATTATGACTCGGCGGTGTTGTTTAGTATAAAGACCTGATGAGCTTCAAGCGTCGATATTTCAGTCCATACCCACCTGTCCCTGCACAATAACTCTTATATCCAGCTCAAGAACTCCCCGTTTCCTATCCCGATCCCCCCCCCCAACCCAAACTCCATCCTAACATGTCCAGCCCGTCCACCGAACCCCAAGGGATGCTCCCCGAGAAGCGATACAACGTGCATCTTAACAACCTGATGCAAAGCGGACAGATCACGTTCACAATCGCCAATGTACCTAACGGCGACAGACATCGGGAAGTGTGGACGTGTACCGTCCAAGTTCAAACGCTCAATAGAGCACAATTGCCGACACCGCTCCTCCGAACTGGTGAAGGGACGACAAAGGGCCAGGCGCTGAACGTCGCGAGCTTCTTGGTGCTCCAGGCGATTGGCCACGTATGATGTGGGCGCGTATTAGAGAACCTTCACGCACACAAGGTCCCGTTTTCGCATCGTCTCCCCTCATTTGCATCGACAGACACTCTACATCACGTTATCACATGGCACCCAATCGCATCGAATCACTCCTAGCATCTCTGTACTTAATATTCTGCACATCTCACTGCATGTCCATTGTCTACATACCCATTCCACATCGTCCCATCTACATCATGTTGTCATGACTAACGATGATAGAACCTAGATTTTGGCCAATATGAATGAGAGTTAGTAGGGTCGTATCTGAACATGGGCCTGAAAATCCAGAAAAGAATATGTTCACTGGATGTTTGATGAAAGAACAGGTTTGGAGAATAGAACACCAATCTCCATGTTGATAAAAAGGCGAGAGGTGGCTTTTGCAAAGGCCACTCATGAATGCAAAAGACGAATTTTCCACTAGCCTAACGTGGGGGTCGAACCCACAACCTTCAGATGACACCGGTCAGTGAGTTTGCACAACACATCACGTTCTTTCTGTAAGAGTCTGACGCTCTACCGATTGAGCTAGCCAGGCAGGCTTACGATTTGCTTCACGCCTATAGATATCATTTGCCCTCAAGTCGTCTCAATAGCCACTCATCTGACCACCACCTCCGTTCGATAAAGAACAAGTGCGGTTTCGTGGGAATAGAGATCCGCGGAGTCGTGCTTGGAAATGAGGTACTTTCTGCCATGATCAACAGAAACACCGACGCAACAGTGGACTAACGGGTATGAATACAGAGCGGTTGGAATTGAGCGCAAGGACTTCATCTTTTGCATGATACTTAGATTAGCAATGACGTGGATGGAATGGGAGGATTCGATAGGAGTGCCGGTGATGAGCATGGGGATGATGGTGAATCGGCTGCGAAGTCGCATTTGGGTAACGGCCTCTGGCATTACGCACATAGCTGCCATGTACAGACGAGGTTGAAGGCGCTACGGGTACTCAAAAATTGCAAGCACTTCCGATAGGCGTTCGAGATGTAGGTGAGACGTCAAACGTGCGCCTCATGAAACCTGTCCAGCTGCGAGATATGAAAGTGATCGGGAAGACACTGATCCAGATGCAGGATGGGGAAATGGCTTCCCTGGACAACGGTTGAATTCCAGGCATTTGGTTCAGTGGCTGTTACTGAACGAGGATTTCGTGTCGACACTCCGCCGCCTAACTCCTCTGTCAAGCGAGGGTCTTTGTGACACCGCACCAGCAAGGAGAAGCATTAAAGTGGTAGTTGAAAATGAAAGATGGATCTGCGACATCGGGGTGTAGAGTGGTAGAACGTAAAGTTGGTCATTTGTGCTGCAGGAGGTTATGAGTAGAAGTTCGTCATTGACGATTTACGATAAAGCTGTTGACGAGTGTCATCCCTGGGATTGGTTGAAAAAATCGTGGATACCACGGATATTTAGTGCCAGCCATCTCCAATAGTGAGCTCTAGCAACCAAACTTAGAATTATTGTGGGTTGCACAGTCGCCTGCAATATCTCAAAAGTTTCAAATCTATCTATAAACTACATTCAGAGCTATTTATCATGCAAGGAGAGAGCATAAGTTTGTTATAAAAAACGTATTTGCTTCGCCAAACTCAACAGCTTTATATAAGCAGATGCCATGAAACAATGGTTTGGATACAAACTGAGCTGAATGACTCTTAATAATTCAATCAAGTAGACTTCTTCCCGGCGAGGAAAAGTTCTATGGGACTAAAGTCGAGGGCCCTCGCTCCAAAATGACCGCACACGATCCATCCATCGCAAAACCACCTCCCCGTCCAGATCATCCAACTCCATAGCCAGACCCTTCTGACCCACCCTTTCCACGCTACAGGAAGACCATCCGTCATCGGCTTCAGCACGCTGACTTCAAAGAGTAGGCCGAACGGTTGCGCCAGGAAGAAGTGTACCTGTGATGGCTCGATGATCCCTAGGTGCGCGTTCTCCGTCGTACGGGGGATGGAGTTTCCGATGGTTATATGGAGGATGGCGGATACGGCGAAGATGGCGAAGGCGCGGATGAAGTTGGTCGTTCGATTGCTGAGGTAGGGGGTGCCGTCCTTTCTCTTCAGCATCCAAACGACGGGTAATGAGCAGCGTTCGAACATACGGCGAAACATGGAGTGCCATTTCAGGGACCAGTACTCTGCAAGCGATTTGGTGGTCAAGATATTGCTTGGATATAGCGGGGGGCAAGAGCTCGGTGGGAGGCCTAGGGCGACGAATGTTAGATTGAGAACGAGGAGGCCAAAGCTCGTTCCGAGGTAGGAGAAGCAGAAGAGTAGTAAAGTGAATGCGATTTGTTGAAATGCTGGGAGTGATGTGACCGGGTTGGGTACTCGGAGGTTCCAGGGGTAGTTGCACAGGAAGTACTCGAGGACGTCCATGGCGAGATACACGAGAACGAAGCGTTTCACCTCCTTGCCGAAGAACTCTGTCTGGCTCGCGGGATGATATTCCCGAACGCTCTTCGTCGCCCAGTCCCAGGAGCAGTTCTTGAAAGAGCTCGCTCCCCTCATCGAGAAGAGGTTGTCTACGGTGTAGGCCAAACGGCCTTGAAGCGTTGTCGGCATGGGCAACAACACATACTCTGGTCTCACCCCGTCCTTATCTTCCATCTTCTCCTTCACCATCAACCACCTTGGGCATGCCTCTTGTCCTTCCCAAAAGCCTATAAGACATACGTCCACCACCCTCACGATGAGATACGCGCCACCAATTACAGCCTGCACATAGAAACCTGGTTTCGAGAGATCATCTGGAGGGTAGGCGACGGCAGACGCTATGAGTAGAGTCGGGATGGCAAGACCGAGTCGGATCCATCGAAGAGACGTGATGTATTGGGGGAAAGTTGTTGTGAAGATGCAAATGGCAACGAGAGACGAGGTGAGAGGGACAGACGTCCGCAATGACATCTGGAACACTTTGGAAACCATAGATATATCCATCAGAGGAGTAGGTAGAAAGCGTTTGCCGTCGTGAAACGGAGGGTTGTGTGTGGGTCTGTCGGCGAGAAACTCTGGTTCATCGCCAAAGACCTACGGCATCCCTGTCGTTGGGCGGTTGGGGGTCGCGGGGTGTCGCGGGCGTAGGCGTCCGCACCAGTGTCTTGAAGGTCCACCATAAGTAACCACCTGGGTCTTCACTATCTTGCACGTTACGCCAGGCCTCCATCTCCTATAAATGCTATTCGTCGAGGACGCTGTGGGGGTTGTTGCCCCGGTTGCAATTGGAATGTCGAAATCGTCCCCCCGTTGATTTGTCACGAACATGGGTCGAGTGGCGATCACGACGACTACAACACAACTCGACTGATGTATGTATCCTGATCATCCGCATCTTGTGAAGCCAAGGCATGGTGTAGAGGAGACACATTACTTTTGCTCGACAAGATAAAGTCTTTTCGATACGTCCCTCGTCTCCATATATCGAGTAGCTTGGACCGCGCAGGTTCTTCGATCCTCTCATCGACACTTTCCTCCTTAGCCTTCCCATAGCATATATCCCACTTCGCTGCTCATTTCTGGTAACTCCTGACCATTTCGAAATCCCCATTGATGCCCTCCATCAACTGGTGGGCGACTCCCGCAGGGACTATGATCAAGTCCCCAGCCGCGACGTCCACCTCCACATTCTTTGGATTTCTTTCTCCCCCGAACCAGAGACGCGCCCTCTCCAAGGAGATAGCGAGGAACCCCGTGCATCGTAGAGTGAAAGTGTGAGGTAGAGTAAATTGTGTATCGCCATTGCGGTTCGACAAGGGTGAGCCTTTTGAGGTGAGGCCCAATCAAAGAAGCAGATGGTCTTTGAGGAAATTCGGAGTAGTAGATGAGATGGGGCTTTTAGGTGATTAGCGTGTTAGGTATGTGGCCGTGCCGAGGGGTGGCATGCATGCTGAGAGACGCGGAGGGAGGACAGGAGTCATCATATCGTGCGTTGATGACATCTGAGATTAATTTGAACCAGAAGCCTCCCCGTCAAGTTCAGACATACGCTACTGACGTCATAGTTACTGGACAGATTTGATTCGCTATTCGGTACAGTGACGGTCTCTTGATGGATATTCACTTAGAGAGCCCCGTCTATATGGAATATGGTACGATGAAACTCAGCGAGAACATGTTGCTTTCGAATTCTGAAATAGGCCGACCCCTAAGACGGATGCTTCCTACACGAGTCCTTGTAGGACTTATTTATTTACACAGATAAATATTCACCTGGTTTGAACTAATAGAGTCTTTTTTTTTCTCCCCTCTTTTTGGATTGGTGCGTGCCTGACTCTATTCAATTGACCGAATATTTTTCCCAACTTTTTCTCTAGGCAGCGAACCAGCCGATATTTTGGTGGAAAATACTCCCATTCTATTGATTCGGCCACACGTGTTTTTAACTCGTTAAAAAGTTGCCACCGCTTATAATGGCCATCAGAAACCGCTGGTTTTTAACCCCCCTCCCCTTTCGTACTTCTCCCTTCTCTCCTAACCTTCCCGCCGCTCCACCCTTTACGCTCTGATTACATCTTGGTACCACAACCGTAGCCACTCCTTCCCTGCAGGCTTCCGAAATTGCCGCCCCTCTTAGTCGTTACAGGAACAAAATGCACTTCCGGTCACCACTCCAAGCGCTCTCACTAGCCTCACTCCTAGCCTTATCTCTCGTCACAGCCACTCCACATTCAAGCAGTCCGATTTCTCCGCCATCGACGGGATTGCAGGTCGAGGTGGACATCTGCGCATATATCGACATCTCGATCAACGTTGGGGCTAAGATTATCAGCGATATCTTGGACATCGAATTCGAGGTCGTCATAGACATTAAAGAATGTCTATGCCTGGAAGCGCTGGTGGCCTTCTGCACCGAGCGGGCGCGGTCTCGAGGCTTATCAGCCACACAGCAGGCGAACCTCTTAGCAGGCCTGGCTTCTACCGTAAGCCACTCCTATGGCAGCTTCACGATCAGGGCTGAATGCAACGTCGATTCTCACTTTGATAGCTTCAAGGATCTGGCGGACCAGGCAAGACCTGCACATATCCCTCAACCCCAGGCTGTACACAGATGTGCTCGGCTTCAAACGTCTGCGGATTCTCTTGTCCCTCTGGCTATACACCGTCCACCGACAGCTTTGGAAACCCAACCTGTATATGCTCATCGCCAGATCAGTGGAGCTGCAATGGACAATGCGTCTCCAAAGATACCCCGTGCACCAGCCCACCTGCGAGCAAGAAGAGACGCTTGCCGCATCCAGCGAAGCCGTGGTGCCCCCGTGGCAAGTCCGTCTGTGGCATATATGGCGGCGGAGCAGACTCATGGGAGTGTGTCGACACCACTGCGGATCTCGAGAGCTGTGCGTAATCTATTTCCATTCTGGGGCTTGATTCTACCCCTTACAGTTAACCTTTTGATTTCTTTCCTATCACATAGGCGGAGGATGCACGATTCCTCACCGATCAACTAGTATCCCTGGTCGGGACTGCACCCAGATCCCTCACATAGCGGACGTCGCATGCGTTCGTGGCTCTTGCGAGGTCTCAAGAT